TGGATTTATTCCTCAAATAAAGAAAATTGAAGGAAAATTGCCTGATAAGATACAAAGAACAACTGGTAGGAATATTTTGATTGTTAGGTCTTTAAGTAATAAAGCTTAATGGTTCAAAACCAAAATTTTAATTTAAACCGAATTGATCGGCGCCGAACAGATCTGACTATCTAATCCCGATTTCCCCATAATCTTCAACCTTCTAGTTAACCCGAAAAAAAATTTTTCGTAATTAAATATAGTAAAAGTAAGGAATAAGAAACGTTCCTTTTCAAAAATATTTTATTTTTTGTCATTTCCGGACACACTGTATTTAAAAGTTGTTTTCAGCTATGTTTACTGCAACATTTGAAGAAAAATTTAAACAATTGGCTAGTTCATTTCTTCGTGATAATTATGTAAATATTTTTGTAAATTTTAAAATTATCTACACAAGTCTTTAAATCTTTATAATAATATATAAAACTATTTTTAAAACATTTAAAATCCATGTCATAACATGTACCCTCACAATTCTCAACGATCGTGACTTTGCTGCTAGTAAATTATTGCCAATAATACTCGTAGTTTTAGGAAATGACAATATTTTTTTTACTTTTTTATTTAAAGATTAAAGTGAAAATTACTCGAAATATACCTCCATATCTCAAACACCAAGTGCTCTGGGTAGATGATTTTGACAAAGACGATAAGCTGAAGGAATTGTTAAATGAACTTTTAAATGATCAGAAAAATAAAATTATTGTATTTGCAAATACAAAGGACAGATGCAATCGAGTAAATATTTTAATTACCAATAACCTCTAAATAAAACCCAATTAAAAATTATTCGTTTCAAAATTATACTAAAAAGCAGTCAAAACGAGATAAATTATGAGTATCTCTCAATTGAAAGTAAAAGGTGCAGCTGGCCGAAACTCCGGTCTTGAGTCTTGACTTAAGACTTTTCTTGGGTTTTTCCGGTCTTAACTTGGGGTAAAGTCTTGGTCTCGACTTTTTTGGGGTTTTGAAAAATACACCTCTAAAGACCGTGAAATTTCATACTACCATTATGTATTTTCTTAAATGCTTGGTCTAGTTCCTCTTTATCTCAAGCTGTTTCATCCCAAGGAATGAGCTCAAATTAAACTTCTTTATGATTCTTTAAAGCAAAAGCATAAAACTGCAAAAAAATTTTTTAGACATTCTCAGCTCCAAGAAGACAGAATCCCTCCCTTTAACAATCCAACTAAAATAAAAAATTATTTTTAGATTGCAGAATTTCTTGGTAATGAGAATTTCAAAGTTTTATTAGTACATGGAAATCTATCAGCTGTTGAGCGTTTAAAAAACCTTAGAAAATTTGTAGCAGGAAAAGCGATTAAAATTCTGATTGCCTCAGATGTATTGTCGAGAGGAACCGATATTAAGGATATAACGCATGTGATAAATTACGACTCTCCAGAAAGTTTGTTTTTGAAATATGAAAATTATAAAATTATTTTCCAAAGAATTAACAACTTATATCCATCGTGTTGGACGTACAGCAAGAATGGGGAAAAAAGGTAAAAAGAAATGATATTTTATGGGTAAACTGAATTCAGAAATATTGGTCTATAGATTTTGGGATCTATAGCTGGGAAATTGTAAAATAAATTACAAATTTCGGGCGTCGAGAATTCCCAAAAAAATTTTGATTCCTGATTAGGAAATCGAGAAACGTCGGAAAGATTTTCGGAATTGGAAATTGTGAAGTCATGGGTTCTGCCATATAATAACTGTGTCTTGGATAGTAACAACTTAAACTAGCAAAATTTTTAATTTCTCCCGAGTTTATTGAAGCAATTTTCTTTTTTATAATGTGTTTATAAATAGGTATCTGTCCGTAAGCCTAAAATAAATGTTGTTTAAAATTAAATACTAATATGTAGAGACCGGAATGGGGGGGGGTGATCGGTATCTCTTAAAATCTCTATGTAATATCGATAATGAGTCTACAAGATCTCGTCTTGTTTCGTCATTTTCTAATATGTATTAAATAAAAAGGAACTGCAATAACATTCTTCAATGAAAATAGCAAGATAATTTTGGAATTGTATGAATATTCAAAGGAAAAATAGATAAATCCTATTGAATTCCCTCCCAAATTTAATGAAAAAGTAAATGAAATAATTGAGGCGATTAAAAAGAAAAATGAGAGAGGATCGCATTTTCGAGAGAAAGCAAAGAAAAAAGAAGAGGTATAAATATTTTTTGTTGAATAAAATTTAATAGAAGTATTAGTTTTTGTTTACGATCGGTTGATCAGAACGAACCTAAGAGTTGCGGTAGCTAAGACTAAATGTACGAATTAATGATGGGTCGTGAAAATACTTTGTGATCTAATTTCCAATGACCAAAGTTGGTACAACCCATAAAACAGTTGATTTTAAGTCCCCAAATAAAGGTTATCTTGGTTAACTAATGAGAGAAAATTAGGGTTGTCGGTTTCAAACCGAACCGAACCGAAAAACCGAAAATTTCGGTTCGGTTTATCGGTTCGGTTTATCGGTTCGGTTTCGGTTAACCGACGAATCTGGTGAAACCGACAACCCTAGAGAGGATCACACCATCTTTCAAAAAACCGTAAAAGTATTGGGAGAACTCGGGGCCCAATCCTACTCTAATTGAAAACAATGGTGAAGTATTATTTATAATCGAGAAATAAGATTATTTTGAGTTATAAAATATCTTTATTTTAAGGAAAAAATTGTTGAAAAAGGGAAAAAATTAAAAAGAAGGATAACGATTTAAATTAAATGATTTTGATTTGAGAAGAAATTCAAGAATGCGAGACAATTGGTTTAAAAAATATCCTTTTTGGACTAAACATTCACAATTTTCTTTTTGTTAGTATACATATACTATTAATGCAGTGCTGCGATTTGTACTTATTTCTGTATTACAAACAGACCTTTGTACTTACAAAATTGAAAATGAACTTATTTGTAGGTACGGAAGTACATAGGACTTTTTAGTTAAAAAATAGAATTTAGGTTTAAAATTCTCAAAATTTGCACCTTTGGCGCAAAATAAAGTAAATTTTCTGGCGCCTTAGGTGCCAGCAAATAATTGAAAAAATTTTTTATAAAGTACTTGTAATTTGAAAATTTTCCACCTATGTACTAGAGATACATATTTTCAAAAATCCTGGATCTGGATTCTGGATTTAGGTTAGTAACCTGGACAGGATTTTTGATCTGGATCCAGGAAAAATCCAGATCCAGGAAAAATCCAGATCCAGAAAAATTCCAGAACGATCAAAAAATGCCTGGATCTGGACTCTGGATCCAGGAAAAATCCAGACTGGATTCAAAAAAATCCAGACTGATTCTTTACTCACACCTAAAAGTTTCTCAATCGCAGCCTGTATTAATGAATCAGCTATATTATTTTTAGCATTTTTCATTTCTAAATTTGTATAAATTTTACTCTCTTAAATATTTTATCAAATTAAAGCATTATTTATCTAAGAATTAGCGTACAATATTGTTTAAATAATTAGAAGCGGATTATGAATAGAAGCAAATATTAACTAGCGTTATTTTTCTTTCTAAAAGTCGACATATAATTTGATTAGTAATTAATTGAATTTAAACTTTGCATAGAGAATTTAAATTTAACCGCCTCCTGGAGTGCAAGGCTTTATTACATCTGCCCCAGGATTGTGTATTGGGTCGCAACCATTACATGAAACTAAATTGAGAAAAATAAGTGTAATAATACTCTTAATTAAGTTTAAATCCTTTTAGGGGAAATCAAGAGGGGCGAAAATCATGATTTCCCGTTCCCGATGTCTTATTCTGTGAATGAGTCGGGGTGCGACACTTGCGGACCGACATTTGCGGACCGACACTTGCGGACCGATTTTTGCGGACCGACATTTGCGGACCAGACATTTGCGGACCGACTTTTGCGGACCGACTTTTGCGGACCGACACTAGAGTACCACCAAAAATTTTACAAATTAAATCAAAATTTATTTAAAAATATTCGTAAATTTAGTTATTCCAATTATCAAATCCATTTGAGGCTAATCTATGTTGAAGAGCACGTAAGTGGTTAACCACTTGCTCAGGAGTTGGGTTTGCATTTGCATCGAAATTAACAACTAAAGTTCGTATTGCTCTATCATTATCAATGTATTGTTTTCTTCTGGATCGCAAAGTTAATCCTAACGTTGGATCTAATTCGTATGTTCGGGACACGCCCTCCTTGTCGCGGGCCCTCCTTGTCGCGGGCCCACCTTGTCGCAGGCCACTTTGTCGCAGGCTTTCCTTTGATTTTTATTTTAAGGTCGGCCTAAACTTTGTTCGCCATGTGCCGTGCTTCATCCCACTGCTACTACGATGGGTTTTTGAAAAGGTTTCGAATTTTTATTTTGTTTTTATCCGGGTAAATTCTGCCAGTTTTTATCCGGGTAAATCCGGGTAAATTCTGTCTTATCCGGGTAAATTCTACCGGAATTTTTAACAGAGTAAACCCAATCCAGATTATTCCAGAAAACCCCGATCGTGCCCAGGTCTTTTTCCTACCCTCCATAGCAGAATAAAAAATTTTAACCTTTGCGAGAAGGTAGGCCTGCGACAAAGTGGCTTGCGACAAAATGGGCCTGCGACAAGGTGGTCTGCGACAAAATGGGCCTGCGACAAGGTGGTCTGCGACAAAGTGGTCGCGACAAGTTGGGCCGTACCCGTATGTTCTTATGCGATCTTGTGCTATTCTTTCCTCCTCTTTTAACACAATGATCAACCTTAATAATAAAAATAATCTTATAACATTTGTACTTAACTTAGAAAGAGGAGGTACCATCCCTAGACCATTTTAAAAAAAGTATCATCCCCAGACCATCTTCTTCAGGTAGAGAGCCGTTGTAGTCCCAGATCAGTAGCAAATATAAAAAAGACTGCATCACCCGGATTATCTATTCGTGAGTCATAAAGCAGAAATCTTTGACCGTTATAATCATTTGCGAAATTGTCCTACACACTAAGTAGTCCAAATACAAATACCTCAATAATTATATTTTGTAATTCCTTAGCGTCGACCACTCTGCGTTCAGGTATTTCTCTTTGACTCTGTGCAGAATAAGAAAATCTGTCTAGTTGAAATAAATTTTTATCTAATTTGTAAAATTTTTGTTTCGTTTTTGTTTTTTGGTGGTACTCTAGTGTCGGTCCGCAAAAGTCGGTCCGCAAATGTCGGTCCGCAAATGTCTGGTCCGCAAATGTCGGTCCGCAAAAGTCGGTCCGCAAGTGTCGGTCCGCAAGTGTCGGTCCGCAAGTGTCGTGTCGCCGAATGAGTATCCACAGAGTGGGAAAAAATAAAAAATTTTTCTTCTCTCCCATTAAATTAAACTCACTTCCAAGGACAGGGGCATTCAAAGTTTTGCTGTTGCCGACTATAAACGATGGGCCTGCAGTAAATTTATAAGAGGCACCAGTCATACTATTTGCTATATTACTTGATCCAGAGTTGATAACCAAAAATGTATAACTAGCTTAAAATTATATATTGTTTAATTATATTTCGCCCAAAAAACCGTTAGCATAAATTGAATAATCTGCCAAAAGTGCAGTGTTGGTAACTGTATAGCAACCTTTTTGAACATTAGAAGCACAAACACAGAATTGTGAAGGATCAGTACAGTTAATTCTAGCGACGTTTACGGCATCAGTAGAGTAGCAAATCTTAAATAAATTTCTTAGTTCTGCCAAATTTATGGAGAGTTACTCCAATCACCCTTCATAATGATCAAAGTAATTTACCTGTGAAACGTCTGGATCCTTGCAGTTAAAGATGCACTGACTTGCAGCATTATTTTTAACAATCTGATTACTTGTTAAAGTATTTTTATCATATATCACTCTTGATTGACCCGCTGCACAATTACCGCAATCTGTTTGAATAAAAAGTGTTCAATAACATATATTCAATTTCAAAATTATATTATGTATATGGTACCTAGAGATCAGTACTTACAAAAATCCTGGATCTGGATTTAAGTTAGTAACATGGACATAATTCTTGATCTGGATCCAGGAAAAATCCAGACTGAATCCAGATCCAGACCGATCTCTATTGGTAACCAGATGTACCTATTTTTTATTTTATCTCATTATATTTATTTGAATAAAGTTATGGCATAAATAACGTGCCCAATAACATTTGGGTCACCTTTATAAATATTATTTGAAAGAAATTGTTATATCATTCTTTTTATAAGAAAAGGCTACTAACTTAACGGCGCAAGTGTTGTTGTAGGTAGGGTAGTAGTTGTTGTTTGTAACTTTGTTGTGGTTGTTGGAAGGGTAGTAGTAGTTGTTGGAAGGGTGGTTGTGGTAGTTGGAAGGGTCGTTGTGGTTGTTGGCAAGGTCGTTGTAGTTGTTGGAAGGGTAGTAGTTGTTGTTGGTAGGGTTGTTGTGGTTGTTGGTAAGGTTGTTGTGGTTGTTGGAAGGGTGGTAGTTGTTGTTGGTAAGGTTGTTGTGGTAGTTGGTAAGGTTGTTGTGGTTGTTGGACATTGAGACGGCTTTCTAGTTCCCGAACATTTGATTGGGGTGCAAGTCTCGCCTGCTTGAAGACATCGAATACTCGCAGCCTAAAAAATATTCAATAGATTCTATAACATATCAAACTGACCTTGATGTAATAGTCTGCTGAGCTTCCCAATGGTTTGAACATATTTCTATTAGTATTTGGAATTGGAGTCAATTCATCAGCAAGCGTAATTGTTCTTCCACATTCGCTCACGAAGGTTTGAGTAAACGGGGCAGCGTTTTGTAATCGAGCGTACATATGACATGTTGGATCGCAGAAAGAATTAATCACAACTAGAGAATAAGCATTTATTACTTTCCAACAAATATCATCTTCGTCGCAAATACAGAAGTCTTGCATTTTTGAACATTTCATAATGACTGAAGAATTACTTGCACTTGAACCAGTTGTAATGGTTGTAACAGGGATGAAAAAGACATTACTGTTGCCGGGATCAGCTGGACATAGGCACACTCCTTCAATTGCGCTGGAACCTGTTTGTATTAAGGGATCAGAAGTGTTGTAACTCAGCAATGCTGTGACTGGTGGTTGAGCGCAATTAAAGGTCGTCGTGGTAGATGGTTCAGTTGTGGTTGTAGTTGGTTGGGTTGTTGTTGTAGTGGAAGGCTCGGTTGTGGTTGTAGTTGGTTGGGTTGTTGTTGTAGTGGAAGGCTCGGTTGTGGTTGTGGTTGGTTGGGTGGTGGTTGTTGTAGAAGGCTCGGTTGTTGTGGTTGATGGTAGGGTCGTTGTGGTAGTTGGTAAGGTTGTTGTTGTAGTTGGCTGCGTGGTAGTTGTAGTCAATTGTGTGGTAGTAGTTGATGCAACTCCACATGCGTTCGAACAGTTCTTTTTACAAATTACACCGCCCAATTTGTTAAAGCATGCTATGTCATTCCACTGTCCTGTTGTTGCGCTGTACATTGCAGCACAAGCCTCTTGTTGGCCAGCTTTAAAACGAAGTCATTTTTATTAAAGTTTTTTGAATAAAGTATTGTGGTAAATAATTTGCCAATTGAGATTTATATTATATCACAATTGGTTCCTCCCCGGGAAATATTTGTTCCTTACCCAGAAATTACTGGAATGTTTATTCTTGTATTTTGTGTCTAAATAGTAGTGATGGTCGGGATTCCCGGTCTCGGTTCCAGAGTCGGGAAATTTCCCGGGTTTTTTGAGCTCTCGGTCTCGGTCTCGGTGTTTTAGTCTCGGAAAACGAGACTAAATTTACACCCCTAATGACGGAAATTTTTTGAACTTTTTGAAGGAAAGGGGAAAGGAATATATTTATAATTTCTCCCATTTGCTTTTGATGGTTGATGGTTGAGTGGTTAAGTTGACTGACTTCACTCACTTAAATATTTCGTAAGTGCTGGGTTCGAATCCTAAAGTGGAAATGAGGTTGTGAAAATTTTTCTTTTCGGAAATAAACGTTTTTAAACTTTGATTTTGATTTTAAAATTTTTAATTTATTTTTTCTTAATTTTTTAAACTTGAAAAAAACATTAAAAATTTTAATTTAATCATGAATTTTTCAAAATTTCCTCCTGCGGCTCAGCGTTTTCGCCTCCGGCGGTAAAAAAAGAAAGAAATCTGGCTATTGGCCTCCCAAATTTTTCAAAATTTTCGCCTGCGGCACAAAAAATGGAAGAAATCTGACTTAAGGACCTCCAAAATTCTCAAAATTTTCGCCTGCGGCGCAGGAAATGGATGAAATAGCCTTGCAACGTTTGTTGTGTGTTTGTTGTGTCACATGTCCCGTGGGACATGTGATACTGAGAGAGGGTATCCCTCCTAATCTCTTGGTCTCGACTCTCGGTCTCGACTCTCGGTCTCGACCCGGGACTCGGTCTCGGGGTCGATTCCCGGTCTCGACTCTCGGGTTTTTTTAACTCCCGACCATCACTACTAAATAGCATCAAACTCTTAGATTTATTTTATTAAATTTTAAGGTGTATTGTTTACTTACATGCTGTTCCCGTTTCTGTTCCTGATGGACCTCCAGTGATGTTAAGATAATTACAAGGTGTTCCATCCGAATTAATGCAATCAACCGTAGCATTGTATGTAGGATAAAATGCACAACGGTGCAAGCCTAACCAGAGTGAACGCATCTGAGTGTCAAGAGTAGTAGTAGTTCTCTGGGCACATACAGTTGTGTTTGTTTGACACGCAGTTATATATGGGCCGGCTAATTGACGAATAAATTCGTTTTCAGCTGAGCTATGAACAGATACGACTTCAGCTCCGAGCGCAAGACATTGTGCATTTGCCTTTAAAATAAGAAATTTTTATCATAAGAGCGCGAGTATTTCTCAACCTCATAAAAATTAAGCCAATCCTTCATTACAACTTGATACCCATAAGTGTTTCCATCCTCTCCTGTTCTTTTAGTCCAATTGCCAGATGTACAACTTGCTTAAACAATGAACAATTTATTTCGAGTTAGATCTATTAAATTGTAAAAACTTACTGTCCGTTATGTCAGAAGGGCTAGTAATTAAAGCATTCTTGATAGATGAACTTCCACATGTTCCTGTACAATTTCTTTTACAGACGACGCCACCCAATTTTTGGAAGCATGATAAATCGTTCCATTCTCCTGTTGTGGCATTATACATTGAAACGCAGTCCTCAATGAGACCAGCTTTAAAGTTAAAATTATAATCATCGTTAAGAATTCAAATATTTTAGTCGTACTATTATTGGTTATAGGATCGCGTTCTAGCAACGGGACTGGCTCCAGCTGGAGCTTTAACCTGATTTTCCTTTAAATTACTGATATCCCTTTTAATCCTTGCAAACTCCTAATGGCCGATCCTGCTGGCCGAACACAATAAAACACCCAATAACAGCACTGGTTAAACCAAATTCGTATTCTTAAATAAAAATTTACCTCCCCCTCCGCTGTCAGATCCTGAAGGATTTCCCCAGGCCCATGGGAAAGGAGAAGGACCAGTAAGAATTACAGCATTTGTAGCTCCATAATCACATGGCGTTCCATCCGAATTGACACAATCAACTGTAGCATTATAACTTGGAAAATATTGACAACGATGCATTCCCAGCCAAACTACACTTAAAACAGTATCAAGACTTGTAGTAGCTCTAGCACCACATGTTGTTTTATTTGTTTGGCACCCGATAATATATGGTGCTGCCAATTTTCGGACAAACTCGTTTTCAGTACCACTGTGGATAGATGCCACATCTCCTCCAACTCCGAGACATAGAGCACGGGCCTTTAAATTTAACATAAAGTTAAATTACCGTATTTCCTATATTAGAGCCCCATGGGGCTCTAACTATCCTCCAAGGTGGTGGTGTATTTAAGGGTGGGGCTCTATTTTTCAACCCTCTTTTGAGATAAAATCCCATTTATTAATATTTATTGCAGCTAAATGTCGGTCGGAGGTTTTGAGATATTTTTTCGATAAATAGAAAAATATCGAAAAATGGCCGATATTTTTAGGGTTTTCAAATGGGATATTTGGACTTGCTATGATTAAAACTTGATATTGACGGATTAAAAGGAATTTCAAGAGACTGTAAGGGTATAGTTGATATTATTGAGGCATACCTATAAGTGGACTTTAAGAGATCATGTGAAATAGAGGAGGATTAAGGTGAAAACTTATTTTTCCTCCAATATTTTTATGTGGGGCTGTATTAGGGGTGGGGCTCTAATTGAGGGTGGGGACTATTTTTCAACTATCCTCCAAAGTGGGGCTGTATTAAAGGGTGGGGCTCTAATATAGGAAATACGGTATTTAATAAAAAGCTGCTTTACTATTAGGATTCCTAAGATTGTTTAAAATTTTCCCTAAACTCTTAAAATAATTTTACTGCTTTCGAAGTTTAAAATAGGGCTACGAATTTCCTAATAAGCATTTTCTCCACCTTTTCTAGGACTAAATTATTTTTTACCTCATAAAAATTAAGCCAGTCTCTCGCAAGTACTTGATAACCATAAGTATTTCCATCTGTATCGACACGCGTTGTCCAGTTCCCTGAGAGACAATCCGCGTTGACAGCTGACGGAATAATGCAGAAAACGATAATTAATCCAATAAGGGTCATTTTTGTTACTTTACCCTTAATATTTTTAAATTATTTATTTTTATATTAATAAAAATGACATTATGGGCATGAAATCATATCTTATCCCAATCACCATATTGGAAATCACCTATCGGATAAACCGACGTTAGTGGTATTTTTTCAGTCCTGACTGTTAGAACCACAATCGAGTCAAGGAGGGAGTGCCCAACATATTCTTTCGGAACATTTCGAGGCTTTTAGTAACCCTAATTTATATTAAAAAACGAAAATATCAACTATAAATTGGATGTAATCGTATATGTATAGTCGGACACTACTACATATGGTGACACATATCGAGGTACTAAAAATTGAACGTGAGACGGGGGGGGGGGGGTGTCAGTTAAATGAACAAAAAGTATATCTTAAGCTAATTTGACATGGTGTGAAATTGTAGATAGATTTTTATCAATGAGTTTCTCAATGCCGTTTCTTAACGAGTTTAAATAAGCAGACTTTTAGCCAAAATTTTATTATCAAATTTCACATAAAATTTAAAACCTCAGAAATTTTACATCCTCAAATAGTACATTCCTTTTGTTAAAAAACTTTTTTTAATATTAAAATTTTATTTATTACCTAAAAAGTCTTTTAAATGTTTCATGTTCTTTTGTTAAAAACCCAGACATATTTATAACTCAAAATTGAAATTAAAAGCCATTTAATATTTTTAATGGTTAAACTTTAACTTTATGGTTTTTTTAAATTTTTATTAACTTTTTAAAATCAAGGAAGAAATTATATTTTTATTAATGTACTTTTTAAAAAATTATTTTTTAATTTATTTTTTTAAATTTTTAATTTCGGTATTTTATGAATTTAAAATCACAATACCATTTTATAAAATTATAATAAAGATAAAAATGGGAGATATGACCTCATTGTTTTTATAAAAATTTTATTCTCAAGTTAATTTCCGACTCCGAATAATTGTAGAAAACTCGACTCCCTCACTACTACATGTAACTCTCCGACTGACATTACCAAAAAACAAAGGACTTTGCGGCTCTATCTGAAAGAAAGTATCTTTCGTAAAATTGGAATTAGATTAGACATAACACAATTAGACATGCAAATAATTTGGGCATTTAAATTTCTGTTTACCCTACTTTTACCTTCTAGTGTTCAAACTTTGGTATTTTAGAAATATTTTTTAACGTGAAATAAATGTTCGTTTTGTGGCGTAACTCGTTGAAGCTTGAGTTGGTGATGCTAAAAAAAGATAAGAACTAGGAACTAAGATAGACAATTTGACAGATTTTTATTAATATCAAAATCCCCCCCCCCCCAAAAAATTTTACATCCTCAAATAGTACATTCCTTTTGTTAAAAAACTTTTTTAATATTAAAATTTTATTTATTACCTTAAAAGTCTTTTAAATGTTCCATGTTCTTTTGTTGAAAACCCAGACATATTTATAACTCAAAATTGAACTTAAAAGCCATTTAATATTTTTGATGGTTAAACTTTAACTTTATGTTTTTTAGAATTTTTAGTTAACTTTTTAGAAGAAGAAATAAAATTTTATTTTTATTGATGTGCTTTTTTAAAAATTATTTCCTGTCTTTAGAAGTATTAAAGGGAATATCGATGGATTAGGCCGTGATTTCGGGGATCAGAAAAGTTAGGGCATACATATCAAATAATTAAAAGTATCCTTTGATTTTGTCAATGCAGTGTAATTCGAATAAATATTAGAGAATTTAAGGGGATATCATCGAGGGAATGGATGAAACAAAGATTAAATCCTCTAAAAGTGCAAGAAATTGGCAAGCAAGATACAAAAAATAGAAGAGGTCATAAATGAGGTTCATGCTCTTTAAGGAAATAAAATTAATAAAATTTTTCTCTGAGATTTCCGATACCTTAAATCGTTAATTTATTTTTTAAATCGGCAAGACCCTGAAACATTTTATATTCTAAAAATCAAACGTTTATGATTGTTTCAGTTCCCATCTGTTATAATTAGAAGATTCATGCAACTCTATTGTTTTTAAAAATACAAAAAGACATACATAATACATAGATGTATTAATAATTTAAAATATAATGGGATTAAAATACAACTAGCAATTGGTTCCAAATTATTACCAGGCCTTAAAATATTTCTTCATAAATAAAGAATATTTTTAAAAAATAGTAAATGTTTTTATGTTTTACCCAAAGAAAAACATTTAATAAAATTTTAATTTAAATTTTAATAATTTTATCGAGTTGGATATTTATTTAATCAATTATAGCACTTTAATATTCTTGAGTGACTGACAAAAAAAATTGATAAAAAAAATTTCTTTTTCTCTGCCTTCATGTATAAATTTTTAATTTAAATCAGGGCTTCGATTTCTGCGGATTTTTCCTCATTTTGTGGTTTTTTGATAGGGCGATGAGGATTATTTTTAAAAATGCGGATTTGCGGATTTTTGTGGTCTTTTGAAGATTATGAGGATTTTTTGTATTTTCTTGTAGTTTTTAAGATAAAATGTCATTATTTTTCCGCTAGAACCTTCCAAAATCCTCAGAATTTTCGCCTGTGGCGCTGAAAATGGAAGAAATCTGTCTTCTTGCCTTCCAAAATCCGCAAAATTTTCGCCTGCGGCGCTGAAAATAAAAATTTTGGCGCCTTCGGCGCCAAAAATTTGGCACGGAAAATTTCCCCCCTTGGCCCCCCATCCCTCGAAAAGAAATCCTGGCTACGGGCCTGGCTCAAGTCAACATAATTTTGCATTTAATTGTTCGGATTTTGGTACTTTATTAATATCCCACCCCCCACCCCTATTTGAGTCCCACCCCCCACCCCTATTTGAGTCTCAGATTAATTTTCATTTTTTACTATCAATCATCCTTTCCCTCATAAATTTTAAGCAAAAAGGCAAGTTAGAAGGAGAAAAATTAAAAATGAGGCATTCTAAGTTGTCATTTATTAAAAATTTGCGAGGTAAAGGATAATTGACAGCAAAAAAGGAAAATTAATCTGAGACTCAAATAGGGGCGGGGGTGGGATATTAATAAAGTACCCGGATTTTAATAAAATAGTCATTAATAGGAAAAAATTGCTCAATTCAATTGTTGGAGTCAAAAAATATAACGCATAAAGTGATTTTAATTCAACTTTTGTGATTGATAATTTTTTGCGGATTTTCATATCAAATGCGGATTTTTTCGATCAAAATTGCGGATTTTTAAAAATTCGAGATCGAAGCCCTGATTTAAATTAATTTTACATTAAATCAAAATTGTTTTTATTTTAAAAGGAAGGGGCAAAAACTAAGAATTGAATCAACGAGGTTAAGTTCCCAAAATTAAAGCAACGTTAAAACTAATTGTTAGCATGATCATTTAAAACGTTTAAAGCGCGGGTTAAAAGAGCAATAATGAGAAAAAAACATAAAAGTTGTCGCTATGGTATCTGTGTAGTAGATCAACTTAAAAGATTTAAGCGGTGCCAAACAAGCATTCACAGCGCTGTTGCAAGTCCGTTGCTTTCCGGCTTCTAAACTTTTATTAACTCTTACTTAATTTAATCATTGAACTCTTGCCAATTTCATCGGCCCTTTTTTAAAAGGGCATAAGTGGGCGCGTTGCCCTCTAAGTTATGGGAAGGGCAATGGTTACTCCCCTCCCCTCCTCTCCTCCCCCCTCTCCTCCTCCCCTCCCCCTCCTCTCCCCTCTCCCCTCTCCCCTCCCCTCTTACTCTTAAGAATCAGTCTTCCCCACTTATTATTTTTTATTTTTAAAAATCTAACTTGACAAGCAGTAAAATTTATTGATAAATGGGCCTCAACAAAAATTTAATAAGAAAAACAATTAACAAATTTGTCAATTAACAGGAATTTAATTGAATTTAAAAAGCCTCCGTATATGCTCGAATATCTCTCAAAAATAATTATACCCTCTAAAATAATTACCCCTTCCAGACAGAGGATTTAAAAAATAATTTAGATAAAAATGTCTACGGGTATTTGGATACTCGTGTTATTTTTGTCTGGCATTCTTCTAAAACATGGTGTTGATTCTATGAAGGACTTGCCTGAACAAATCAGTTCTACAAGTGTTGTTGGGCAATCTAGCAACAATCTTCAAGTGGAAAATGAAGTGACTGAAGGCAAGAAGAAAATTTTGCTTTTGGCCGATGATTTTTTGGATCATTACACCTTTGGGGTAAAATTTCTATTGTGAAATTATTTGTATAAAAATTTTCTTGGGAATAAAATAACATTCAAAACCGAAAGAAAAACGGAGTAATATAGACGAAGGGATTGCTTTAAATCGAACCTCCAAATAACCGACTAACAGTAAACTACTTGGGGAGCTCTCTCTTTCTCTTCTAAATTGGAGAGCTCTCTCTTCTAAATTGGGGAGCTCTCTCTCTCCTCTAAACGCCTCTCCACTATTTGCAGTCGAAAAGGGCAAATAGACTTTTATGTATACACAGGTTAATCACGTGTAATAATTAAAATTCAAAGGAAAATCGCCGAATTGTTGCACTTTTGGTTTCGCAATAGTGTTTACATAAAAAATAAATCTATTACAAAATAAAAATATTCAAAGCTTTTATTATTCATTTTATATATACACGAGCGTTAAGGTGCCGCTTCGCGGCACCTTAACGCTCGTACATTAGTTTTTCAAATTTTTTAAAAATTAAAAATTTAAATTTTTTGGTTTTATTTTTTAAGTATTATTATTAAATGCTATATCTTAAGATTTAGCTTTAAAATTGTCTTTTCGACAATAGATCAGTTTCTACACTCTGTCACAAAAGTATAAGCACCCCTAAAATTTTTGTGAAAACACATGATCCCTTCACATTATTTGTTTTATTTTTTTCCTACATTAGCAGGGATCCAAAACATAACTAAAAACGAAATCACAAAAAATAAAGAAAAATCCGCATATCTAAACATAGGATTTGAGGAAAAGTGATATATCTGGCAAACTTATACATACGGCTCGTTGTTTTTGTTTGCAGTTAATAATTTGCAATTTATAACTGCAAAGTGTGCGAAAGAGAAAACGAACTTTTTGCTCTATATAGGACAGGAACTTCTGTTTAATAGGGAAACGTGCAGATATAATGTATATTGAAACAGGGGTTATTTTCTGGAGGGTTTTTTTAGTTTTTGGTACTTTTCTGTTTTGTGACCACACTTTAAAAATGTTTAAAAAGGGTTACGAATATGGACAAATTATATGTCAATCGAAAGAGCTCCTCGTGCTGAGTCGAATGACACCAAAATCAGCTCGAGATCTTGATTATGAGCCAAGATAAAAATGTTCAAAATGGTCAACGTAAACCTATGGTCGGCATAGGTAAATCTGTTCAAACGATCATAACATTGTCCTATTTTGTTCATCACGGTGATTTTGGTGTCTTTCGACTCAGTTTGCCGAGCTCTTTCAAATGACATAAGTTTGGTCATATTCATTATTTTGACCATTTTGATCTTTGTATCTTTTGACCATTTCGAGCCCGTTCCATTTCAAATCCAAATGATCTTGGTGTCATTTGACACAGCTCGATGAGCTCTTTCGAATAACATATAATTTGTCGATATTCGTGACCCTTTTTAGACATTTTTAAAGTGTGGTCACAAAATAGAAAAGTACCCAGTTATTAATTCGTTTGGTTGGCTTCAGTTTTTTCATATGTGATCCCATCTGACTTAAGCTTAGTTCATCATAAACCTTTATTAAGCGAAATATTTCAATACAGTAGAAATTTTAAAAATACCAAGCTTATAATTTTAATCAACTTTTCCAGAATTTCGTACACCTGGGTTAAAAAAGAATAAATTTTTTGTGAAAATTTATGAAACCAAATTCATCCCTAAACCTGTTTAAATCTTCTTCTGCAATCCCCTTTTCCCTTCAAACACTGTTAAAAATTCAATTTCCTGAAATCCTTTTAATACTTCAATACTCTGTTTTTCATTCAAGAACGTCGGATATCGACATATCTTCTTAATTTTTGCAAATCCCTTATTATTCTTGTTAGCCACTTTTTATAACAAACTCTAATATTCTTTCTAAATCACTGTTATTCGCCTTAATCCCTCATTATCTTAAGTGAAAAACAGCCAAGTAGTCTGTTTTTTTTTAAATTATTTTTACTTGGATTGAGGAAATTGTAAGTATCCTGAATCAAATATAAAAGGATCCACGGAATTGATCCTTCAAAATTGCAAAATTCTCGCATTGCCAGATTATGTTATTTAGGATAAATATCTTGAATTTTCTTTTTATCTACCTTATTTCTTTAAATTATCGGTTAGCCCTTAACTCTCTTCTACTTCCGCCAAAAACGCTGCAATGATCATTCAGTATCTCTTCAAAACACTATATTTTTTTAATCCACATATATCTCACTTTTTCCTCAAATCTTAAGCTCAGATATGCGTTGAACTTTTCGTTTTGTTTTTTTGTATGATTTTTCTCGTTAACTTCTGAAATAATTGCGTTTTATTGTCTGTTTTTAAAGCCAAAATCTATAAAATCAAAATCTTAAGTCAAAATCTAAAAAATTATCTTTGGGGTTTTTTATTCAAATTTTTTTCGGAAACTCCGCAGTTAGCTAAATTTTTGACACTTTTTTTTCGGATCTGCTTTTTCATAAAGCAGATCCGAAAGGGATTCGCCTGAACTATATTACAATTTCTTATATTTATGCCGCAAAGCGTTTTGGCACTGTTTTTAGCCGATTTTAGCGCTTTTTAGAATTTGAAGGATTTGGTGTTTGTACTATGGTACCGGTTTTTTTCAAGATATTTATCGAAAATAACTTTAAGTTTCGTTTTTAGTTTGTTTGGATTGTTTATTCTAATTTTATTTTACCTTGTTTGGTTTTTGGAGATTATATTTGGGGATTAAATGGGATCTCGGGGGATTTGGATGGATTTGGTTGGATTTTGGTAGTTTTGAAGGAATATATATTTTTGTATGATATCGGTTGATTAAACATTAAAGAGTAAGAATTCTCGACCTCTAAATCCACTCTTGTCCCCTGGGAATCAACTTGATCAAATCCACTTGATCTCTGCAAAATCACTTATATTCCCAGATATACCCATTATTCACTCCAAATCCCCATTAATTCCTGAGAATTAACCAACATAGCCCGAGAGTGTTTTATTTTTAGATATAACGCTCTCAGTTTATCCACAAAATGTTTTATGTATTATGATTTATGCATTGCCTCGCAGATTTTACAAATTCAAAATTATTTAATGATCTAACATCGTTTTATTAAAGCCTTATCTCAACAGTTAGATCTATAATTTTCGTATCAATTAGAAAACTATAAACCTCCATACCAACAATATTTCTCGAAAGCCCTTGCAAATCCCGAAAGCCCTCTTGATACCACCAAACCCTCAATATCCTGCTTACTTTCCAAGTCGCCAGATAAGTCCCTTTCTCCTCCACTAAAATCCTCTAATATTCCTCCTTGCCCCATAAACCTCTGTTTGAATGTACTCAACTGTGCTAACCTAAATAGTGTTCCATTAAAGTTTGATAGTTGCGAAAGTTTGATACAAAATGGCTGCGATTAATTTACACAAATAAAATGTGTGCGAATATATGGCACACGGCTGGTAATCCCTGCGATTAAATGGCGGACGGCTGGTCGTTTTTTGTTTACGGTTAAATTTCAGCAAAAATGAGAGAAAAACAACTACGCGGCTGTGTTAGAGAATTTTATTCTCTTTATTTTTCTCTTTTATTATCAAAGACTTTTGTTTCTTTTTCTCTAAATTAACAATGAAAATTTTTCGTTTCAAAAAAAATTCACTTTTTTAAGATGAAAAACTTGTAAACAATTATATCGTTTTAGTATAGTTAATATAACAAAAAACTTCCGACAAATGGGGAAAAGCCTTTTGTTCCATTGTTTAATTTTTAAAAGTTAAATACAAAAATGAGGTCCCCTTATATAAGGGACTATTTTGCGGTCCCAGATCAAAAGCTAAAAAGGAGTTTAACTTTATTTAAATAATTATTTCAGTTAAACTTGGCCAATATTCTCAACTCTCAGGACGTGTATGAAGTTGTTAGTTTTAAATTTATTAATGAATTTCAAATGAATTTAAATAAAATCCAATTTTTCAGTATTTTATTGCTGTCAACTATAAAATAAATGGTGTGGAGAAAGACTTGGATAAACCTAGGGAAGGTGTTCATTTTGTTGAGATAATTTCAGAGGAAGAAAATGCCCCAACGATAAAAACGGATTGGGAAAAAAATTATTTAGATAATCAGCAATTTAGAAATAATATGTATAATGAGTTAATTAAACTAGCTGATTTTTATACATTCTCTTTGTTTAAAGGTAAATTAATAGAAAACTATAACCATATTTCTGAGATCTTCTGGATTTCGATAGCCTACAAACGTGGGGGTTTTGCCTCTCTGCCGTATCAGGTACGAGTTGCTCGTCAGAGTACGAGTACAAATTTTGGTACGAGCTTATAAGCACTGCTTTCTAGGAGCGATAGTTAAGTTGTAAAGGCTAATTGAAGACTATACTCAATTTTTTAATACATATTTTAAGTGTGAGTTTGATTCCTAGTCTGAAGAGAATCAATGTGGGGAGAATGAATGTTTATATGTTATATTTTCTGAATTATGGCATATTGCACTTAAAAAATCCTAAAATTATCCGTCTATGGAAATTTTTTTGCTAATTATAATATTCAAAATTTCAGCCATAATCAGGAACAATCTGGTTGTTATTGAAGGCAGACAATTAGGGATTTTTGATTGGCTTAAAGAGAACGTAAAGCAATTTGCTTTGGGAATTTCAGAATTTTCAATCATGTCGGGAGCATTTTTTCTCTTCAACGAAATTGGTTTAGAAAAATATATTGCTACGAATTCTTCTGCTCCTTACCCTGTTTATTTACATTTCCTTGGTCAAAGATTTTATTCTAAAATGCCGAGCAAGTTTTTCTTCAAATTATAAGATATACCTAATAAAAATATAGAAAGAGTTTGCAAAAGTTTAGCCAACCGGCTGGATTCGAATCTGCGACCACGTTGCTAGGCGCTTTCGCTCACTATATTCAGGAGCTCTACCTCTGAGCTACCGGGGCATCGACTAATGCTTTCTCTTTTTCCTTTTTAGATCGTTTAACCCCCGCCTAAGCGTTTTAAATGCTGCTGGGTGAATCATCCTTACAATATCAAAGTTATTTTCGTCCAAAATTGGCCCTAGTTTTAATTAAGATTTAAAATTAAATTTATTTGATAAAGGTTAATTTCAACGTTTACAAGTAAAATATTGAGAAAATTAATAAATTTAGGTTACTTGTATTAATAGGAAATTTTGTTTTTAAAAAATAAATTTTAAATAAAATTTTTAGATATTTTCTTAGCTAGAGAGTGTATGTATAACAATAATGCTTTTAATTTAACAAGAAATGAAAATGAATACGAATTTTCAATAAATAAATTTAAAGAGGTTTATCAACCTTCAAATTTATTAAGTGAATATTCAAAATTAAAAAAGGACTATAATTTAAGGTAATGGGCGATTTAAAAGTAATGCCGAGTTAGTCAGCTGCTTTTATCGAAGCAATATCTTTTATTCGATCGTGATTTTTATTCGAAATCACTGAATGAGTTTATACCTTTTTAAACTAGATTTTTATATTTATCTGACTAAATTTTCTGAGAATCGCTTACTCGAGTAGACCGTCTGATCTGGTTGTTCCCCTAAAAAGTAATCTTTATACCTATCTATAGAATTATTCTGAAGTCAAAAGAATAAAAGTTATTAAGCTCCCTAAATGAGTCGGCTTTAATGAATCCCGGAAATGGTCAACTGAACGTGACCAACCAGATGTGACCGACTATGACCTAGCCTTTATTCTAATAAACGTAATATATCATCCAAAAGTCATTCATATTATGAAAAGCCTTTGAATAATATAAGAGATTCATTTGGAATAGATCAGGGCACAAAAGTTAAGGACGATCTAAGGACGATATTTAATTTAGTCATATAATTTAAGGGTTCAAGAATTGCCAAAAATTGAAGATTTATTAAGAAAATCAAAATATTATTTAATTAATGTTCATCAATTAGGGCAATATTTTGTTAGAGAAAATGAGGAAAATGATCAAGTTTATTCAGAAAAAATTGTTTATATTGGAGGGATTGAAGTTGAAATTGAAGGGAAAATTAAACAAAAAACTAATTTTAAAAAAATTAAAGGAAAATCGGTTTATTTAAAAAATAAAATTAAAAATTCGTTAAATGGCAAAAATAAACAAATTAAAACATTAAATGATGAAGTCGATGATAAGGAAATAAACAAATTTATTGATACTTGGATTAAAGAGGTATTCATTTACAGCAGAGATTGAAACCAATTGCGGACTACTTTTGCCCCAGTTCTACAATGGAGTTCACCTTTCATAATGTATTAGCCGACTTTTGCAGCTCAGGAAATAAGTACCCATGTTCGGCCCCGACACTTACGGCTCGCCCCTATTTTGACACTTGCGGTCCCAATACTTGCGGCTAGGAAATATCAACTTGAGGACATTTGAGGCTATCAACTTGAGGCCCAGACACTAGCGGTCCTGACTTTTTCGGTTTTGACATTTGAGAGTTCTACCACTCTAGTAAAGACATTAAGGAATTGACTTAAAAATTTATTTTAGGCAAAATGTCTAGTCATTTTCAATATGGGAACTGCTGTAGGTTATGAAGGTTTCTCGAGAGAACATATGAAAGTTTTAACTGACACATTTGAAAAATATAATGAATGTAAATATATTGTTGAGAATGGAACTTTTGAAATTAACAATTTTAATTGTGCTGATTGCCGGTTTAAAAAGAAATATGAAAACAAAAAAATTTATTTGAATAACAAAGGAAATATTTTATTACATAATGGAATTTTAGACAAACAGGAAATTCTTTGTAATTTTTTATTAAAATTAAGTAAACTCAATTGTTACCCTCATTCGACACTCTGTGCCCTATTCTTATGATTTTGCCCTATTCTTGTCCCATTTTTGAGTGCTTGAGCCATATTTAGGGTTTTGGAACGGTAATTATGGAATTGCTTATATTACATAAATATATGATTAAAATTCTAATATTTTAAATTTCAGCATATACAAATGTAGTGTGTTATATTACTGATGGTGGTCAAAAGAGCTTCAATGAGGTATAGTAATGATGTTTTTGTATCCCGACTTCCAAGTCGGGAAATTTTCCCGAGTTTTTGGCCTCCCGATCGCGACTTCCGAGGTCCTTTCCCGATCCGACTCCCGTTTTCCGGGTTTTTTCTTAACCCGAACATCACTAAGTATAGAACTAATTTTTAATTTGCGCAATTTTGTATTCAAATAAGCTATTTTATTTGTTGCTCTAAAAATTGCAGTTCAAATAAGCTATCATTTTTACAGAATTAATATAATAGAATTAATATCATGTTAGGTTAAAATATTCGTCTTAAGCGGATGAGCCCTTTATTGAGGATTTGAAGTTGTTTGTAGCCGAAAATAAAATGAATATCCTGTATTGGGGTAGGCATTGTCAGACTACTAAATTCCCAAACTCTATACAATTGTCTGAAAATCTTATTAATTTAACAGGCTTTATATGCAGGAGTTCCATTATTAGTAATTCCATCTTTTGGAGAACAATATTTTAACGCTACACTCACTAAATATATGCAAATTGGGATTACAATGAATTATGAGGATTTTTTTAGGGATTTTTCAGGGAAATTTAAAGAAATGAGGAAGCAAGTTTATTTTTTAGTTTAATACTTTATTTATTACGTTAAATTTTAGACAAGATATTTCCTTGATTCAGTCAAGATCCTGCCATAATTTATTGCTTATCGTTAAGATTAGAGCTGTCCAAAGCTCTATATTCTGAGTTAATGTCATTCTTATCTGTCTATCGGTCCCTAATATGCTTATATTTTTTCAGGAATTTGAAGAAATATTCTGAAAAGGCACAGAATATTGCCAAAGCAATTCATTCTTCACCCTATACGCAAATTGAAAAGTTTCTAAAAACAGTTAAGAAAGCAATTAATGATGAAAACGAGGAACCTTTTCCTCCAATTTCTACTGATAACCCATTAGAATTTTACTCTAATGAATTGGAAGTACATTCTAAAGTAATTAAAAAATTTTTGAAGACGATCAAATCGACTGGGGTTAGTCAAGTCTTTAAAAAATGTATAAAATTTTGAAGGAAATTTGGAATATTTATAGTGAAGAAACAAAATGAAGAGAACATTATTTTTTTTAATTAATTTGAAGAGAAGAAAATGATTTGTCGATTGTACTATAGTAAAAACAATGTACTGTATTTCCTCTATTTGAAAGCTACCCTCTAATAGAATGCCACATTGGAAGGTGATTGAAAAATAGAATGCCATGGCATTCTAATAGAGAAAATACTGTAGTCTGAGACCGTTCACTCTGAACTTTTTTTTGTAGATTTTTAAATTTTAGTTTAGTACGGATGCCCCCAATTTGTGTCTTATCCGTGACGCCCTGATGTGGTTCGATTCGTCTCGTCGAACTGTACCGAACCATACCATGGCGTCGCGGACTCGACCATTTAGAACGTAGTTGTAGATGAAAGGAGTTCTAATTTAAGAACAAAATAAATATCTTGCACAGCTCTATTACTGTTTATAAAACAAAAATTTTCCAAATCCAAATACTATTTGATTTTCCACCTATTTTAAATTTTATATATTATTCATATTTTATTTTTGGAAAACCTTATACATAAGATAATTTATTCAAAATGTTTTAAAAATGTTTAGAATGTAAAAAGTAAATTATTTAGATTATGACACACTTTCACATTATTTAATTTAGACTTCCCAAATTTTTTTTGTGAAGCGATATCTACATTATTTCAAATTTTCAACTAAACGAACAAAATTAAGTTGAACTTGATCTAACATTTAAAAACAGAGTTTACATTTTTGAGAATCTTAAGAAAAATGAAGATGCTTCAGGGATTGAATGTTTAACTGAAAATTCTTACGAATGAACACGATGATGTTGATGTCGTTGAAATCAGCATGATTAAATTATTCTTTAACGAAATTATGTTTTGAGTAGAGTTGGCCGGTATCGGGATTTAGCGAAACACCCGGGATCGAGATTTTGGAATGGTGATCCCGATCCTGAATCGGGATCGGGATTAAAAAATCGGGATCGGTATTTACTAAAAATTTTTTTAAAACTTACAAATTTTAATTTTTTTATTTTCCTCCCTTACGACTCAATATTTATAAAATTTTCAGCTTCAGTGCTGAAATATTGAGTTCGAGTCTCAACAGCGCATGATTTACTTCCCCGTTCAGTTGAGTAAGAAGGGATATATTACTTTCTCGGGTTGCGAGGAGGGATAAATGTGATATAATAATAATACAACTGCGCCGCAGGCAAAAATCTTAAGAATTTTGGAAGTCAAGAAGCCAAATTTCTTCCCTTTTCTGCGCCGCAGGCGAAAATTTTTCTTACTTTCAAGCCTGCCCCTCTTCTTTTAACTTTTTTCAGACTTCTAGTCAATTTTAAAATCGGTATTTGCATCGGGATCTGATGCAAATCCCGATCCCGGATCCCGGCTTGCGATCATCCAAAACCGCGATCGGGATTCACCTTTCGGTCTCTGGATCTGAAAAGTGATTAAAGTGATAACTTCTTGAAATGGTAAATGCGAAACGTACAATTTCATAAAGTCAATATGACAAAACGCAAAAACTAAAAAATGGGAAAAAAACTCAAAAATGATTGCAAATGGAATAGGTTTTGGCTAATTCTTTTAAAAAAATTCGCGTGCACGTGTGTGTATCAAACTTGCTTTTGTTTTTAAGTGTCGGCGGTCTAACCCAATCGGCTATGTAACAGCTTATTTAATAAAAGAAAATAAATTTTTTAATTGTCATCTACTTTAGTTTCTTTTTTTAA